TTTTTTTTTTTTTTTTTTTTTTTTTTTTTTTTTCCCCCTTTTAAACAGGGCTGTCTTCTCCTCAACGGGGAACAGGAACACGCAACGCATAGTATCTAGGCGGAACGGCACTCTTGGAGGTCGACCGGCCCCAGGTAAAAATTCAGCGGAAGTTATCTTCACGCCCGTCAGATTGCCATGGAATTCGAACTCAGATGTGCATTTGAACAGTTCGTAGGTGTCCCACTTTTGTTTCCACTCTCGAGTTCAACTTGGGAACGCTATAAAAAAAAAMCAGCAAATATGGCGTTGTATCTTTCGATGATCTTCAGGAAGATTCATTCTCATTTTGCACATTTGGTGAGTGGTGGAGCGAGGCCSTCAGGAGAGAGTRCCCACCCCAGCGATAACAATTTACTCACCTATATTTATTGGGCTGTAATGAARTGATTGTACGCAGTACGTAGGCGCATASTCACACTAGAACGTACTTTTTTGAACTTTTGTGGACAGCATTGCGGTCAGATACACCCGTGTCGGGCCATGAATGCCGTCCGACACATTTAAGGAACAGTTGGTGTGACTGCGACCGCATGAGGTAACCCTTTCTTGAGGCTTCTCTCCACTACATGTGTGCGCTTTCTGGACCAGGTGTGCCGGTCCAACACTTTGAGTGTATCGCGTCCTGAAAGCTGTCCAGATGCATGTCGATCTTTGTGTACTGGAGCGAGGCCCATCGTGTTGGCCGTTCTAACAAGCGGCCTGATAGTGACCTACTGACCTGAAATTCGTCCGACCTCATTCGTGTGCCATTCCAGGTGGCGTTTTCCGTGAGGCACCCGCCAGGGTGGCTTTTTTTTTTTTTTTTTTTGTGCTGGAAAAAGTATCAGCGGTGATATCTTCTCCTTTTCTTGCTCTTTCCGTCTTTTGGGGTCCGGATTCGAACCCCTGGGGCAAGGTCCCACTTGCGCAAATTAGGAGATTTCGGCCGTTGATCTTTGCTATCTACGGTCAGTATCTCTTAATTCGTGGAACTGGGACCTAGCCCCTGTTCTCTTCATCAGCATGCAGCGCATACTCATTCAACACCGGCCTCGATTGAACTCATACCCTGAAGTGGAATGTCATCGTGCGACAAATGGCCTCGCCCTACTGCTCACCAACTGCACGAAAGAAAGACAAAAAGAATATATGGCGGTGGATATTGCCATGTTCTATCGGCGGATTCCTTCTCATGTTTATTGCACATTTGGCGAGTATTGAAGCGAGCTCCATGGAGCTTAGGGCGTACTCATACTAACACGATCTTAAATGGATCTGACCGTATATACGGCCGCACCTGGATGCATGTGATCGCAATTCCGTCCCGAAATAAGTAAAAAAGTCCTAGTGTTAGTATGCCCTTAGTGACCTGGCTATGTGATTGCACCCGTATCTCTGTGAGTGACTTGTGTTCATAAAGTTGGCAAGAACTGAGCGCAGATAGAGAGAGAGAGAGAGCAAGGCCGAGGGGTACCTACTACATGCGGAGGATCTTCTCTGACCGTAGATTATTAGGAAGATCAAGGATCGGAGATGTAGGATCTGCGTCAGTGAGGCCGAGCTACACAGCGCAGGCTTCAGCTACTGGCTGCTCACAAAAGCGTCGATCTTTGCAATAGATAACCGAAAGAAGAGAGAAGGAATATGGACAGCTAGCGCTTCGGCGCATCCTTCAAAATTGAAACGATACAAAGAAGTTTTTTTTTTTTTTTTTTTTTTTTTTTTTGCCCCCTTGGATTCATATCGATTCTTTTTTTTTTTCTTTACCTCTTTTATATTTCTTGCTTTCTTTTTCAATTAAAAAATTTGGACTATTTCTCGATCTATGCGTGTCATCATTGCGCAGAGTATATTAAGCATGGCCCATGAGTAGGGGTGACATAGGGCGTCGCTCCACCACTCACCCAAATATGTGCAAAACGGGAACGAATCTTCCGTTAGAACATGGGCAGATACACCGCCATATTTTTTGACGTTTGTGCATGTGGAGAGTGGTGGAACGAGGCCCATATATTGCAAAAATACAACAGAGGGATAAATCAAGAGATGATCCAAAAACAAAGAAAAGGAAAATAGGAAAAGGAAAAAAGACGAAAGAAGGTGCGGTTCGCGGCATCCCCTGGCTGTATTTGATGTCATTGCTGACGAGATTACGCGCTCTGCAGACGGCTCTACGTCTAAAGACCTATAGTCCAATCTCGGTGAATGAATCTGACCGCAGACACTGTCAAAATTCGGTCGAGTAAGTTCGAGCTCGATGTGCACTTACACTTTCATACCATCTGGATGCCAATATCCTCGGCGTGTGGATGCTCGCTCACGAAGTCGACGTGAGGGTAAGGTAACTGCTCACGGCGTGCGGATCATCGCCCAGTGCGGTTCTGCTTGATTTTCGGCCCTCCGTCGGGTGTATAAAGAGCCCACGAACGGGGTTCTCGACGAACACAAACGCTTGCCTAGACGCAGAGAAGCGTGGTAGTAGAGACAGAAGTCCACCAACGAGTGTGGTATCACGAGAGGCTGCGCGAAAGAAGAACGATTGACAGCCGAAGGACGGGAAACGGAGTAGCCGGCGGAGGAGGAGGGCGAAGCGGAGAGGAGCGGCGATGGCTCGATCACTCTTTCCGGTGGTGGCCGCCATGGCGGCCGTGGTTGTCGTTTCGCTTCTGAGCGCGGCCGTCCCTGCGAGCGCCAAGCCGCCGAAGGTGACGATCGAATCGGTCACGTTCATGGGCTCCGGCTGCAACTGGCAGAATACCAACTACGTCTTGTCCAACGACTACTCGACGGTCACTTTCATCTTCGGCGATATGATTGCCACCACGGACGGAGGGCTGGCCAACAGGAGGAAGAACTGCCAGGCGTCGCTCGGGTTGAAGTACCCCAAGGGCTGGAGTCTGTCGCTGGGAAGCGTGACTGGCCGCGGCTACGGCAAGCTCGATAAGGGCGTGGAGGGCACCTATCAGACGAGCTACTACTTCTCGGGACAGACGGGGACCGCGTACGCCAAGCGCACTCTCAACGGGCAACTGGAGCTCAACTACGAGTACACCGACGTCTTCGGCCTGCTCGTGTGGAGCCAGTGCAACAACGTGCCCAACCTGAACATCAACTCCGAGGTGAGAGTCGACGGCCCGGCGGGTCGCAACGGCATCATGACGCTGGATTCCACGGACAAGAAGTTCAAGCTCATCTACCGCCTCAACTGGAAGACGTGCTGATGATGAGAGGCTGATCTGCATCGAGCGAATTACAACCTCTCTGTCAAGACGTCCTCGGGGACGGCAGTTTAAATAGATAGGCGCAGATGCGGGTGTGGAGTTTTGTCTACGGCTCTAGATAGGGATAGCTATGGCGGAGGAGATGTACAGCCATCGTTACGCTGTTGCCGCCCTCCCTGAGCTTGTAGGTAGGGCTTCCCAGCGGCTGTGCAGTGTCCGCACATCATCAAGATGATGTATCGTGTCTTCTAGCTAGTCTCTTGTTTGAGAATTGCTCCAGGGACTCACCTGATTCAGAAGAGATTGAACATGCCAATACTTCATTTTATTAGTTGGGCAAGACAACGCTCCATCTTTCCTCGTTATTGCTGCAATGCGTGAATCAAGTTGAAATCTCATTCCTCAGTTCTGCACTTATCGTACGCCACTCTTCTCTCTCTCTCTCTCTCTCTCTCTCTCTCTCTCTCTCTCTCTCTCTCTCTCTCTCTCTCTCTAGGTAATGACATATATATATATATATATATATAGATAGATAGATAGATAGATAGATATATGTAGAAATATCCATCTCCCTTGGTCCCTCTCTCTCTCTCTCTCTCTCTCTCTCTCTCTCTCTCTCTCTCTCCATCGTATTATGTTTATGTTCGTATCGTCAATATGTTCTGAAGAATCAGTCAAACGTAGTTCTCTTGATTCAGATGTCTTCAAAAAAATACATGCTCATGTGCTGTGTCGGCTCCCTTATTACGTTGCCACGTTGGTCAATCTGTGTATGCGCTGTGCAGATGTCAATCCTTGCACCCCTCAGCAGGTCCTGTTACTTGATACCCCACTGCTTTCACCTTTCTCTACTGACTGCAGTCCCTGAAAACGCCTCCACTGTTGTCAACTCAGCTGATGTCCGGCCACCTGATACAACTTAACCCTTGTGTGTAGACCCACCTTAGCAGACGGCACATCCCCAGTTTTTTCATCCCAACTGGATTTAACTGATAATATGTTTGCCAACTGTTACATTTGTGTGGCAGTCAGCAACATGCACTTGTAATCGGCTTCATATTAGGTTGGTAAAAGTACTTAGATTTTTCCACCAGAACACATAAGATTTTTCCACCAGAACACCAAGTACCTTAACGCTTGACTACACTGCGGTTTTATTTGTTGGCAGTTGCCAATGCTTGATGCACCCACCGCTCAACAAGGAACCTCTGCAGCTCAGCTCATTCCTGGCGGAGTGCACCCCGAGCCTAAAACCGGGCAAACAGGTATGATCTCTTTCGCCGTCCAGTTGAAAAACAAGCAACGAAGCTGCCAACGACTGCTTAGTTAAGTCAGTTAGTTAGGCTCACCCGACGGAGTGCCGAAGGATTGGTACTGCTCAACTATGCCACGTGTTCTGATCTATCAAAGAGAAAACTATGCCGCAGTCAGGGTTCGAGTTCGAAAATGCACTTGTTGAGGCAAAAGGGCCTGGAATGGTGAATGTATACAACCTAGGTTTCCGGTCCGGTGGGGTTACGTGGGGGTGTGTTCTGTTTGCGGGATTGCCTGAGGTGCATTTTCAAACTGTTTTTTACCCTTTGATTAAATTGAAAGCCCATTCGAACTTGACCGCGAGAGGACAATGGGGACACTTGTAAAAAATGGGGACCCTTTTCCGAGTAACAAATGTGAAGGCCACTGCAGCCTTCTTTCCATTGATATGCTGATGATTTTGTACTATTGCTCAGTGGAGAAGGCCGTAGAAGACACAAAGTGCTAAGTCTAGAGTCTAGACAAGACGATGGCACAACGCATCCCGCTGCGATTCCAACGCATCCCCTATCAAGATGATGTATCGTGTCTCCGCACATCAGTTGTTGATTTAGCGTCAGTCTTGTAAAATATGATGACTTATTTAGATCACTTGGAAATAAAAATTCACAACGTCACCTCCGAATTGCGGAAGGTGACAAAATTGGTTAAGGCAAAAAACAAGGTGGTACACGAGAAGGTGCCTGAGGTGAAAGAAGAACCGCATGAAAAATTAGTGAAAGATGTCATGAAATCTCGGAAAGAATTTGAAACTTCCAAGGAAGAACTGACAAAGAAAGAACCCGAACTTGTGAAGAAGGAAGTGGTCTGTGTGTAACACACCGAACATGTTCGGAGCTTTTCCGAATGTGCGAACATATTCGGGTGTTCGACCAAACTCTTCCCGAACATAATTAAAAAAAAAAAAAAATTGGTTTGGTTTTGTATTTTTAACTCGAGTTTGGTTACAAATTTGAGCATACCTCGCAGGCAAAATTTGTTCTTATTATTATATTGCATATTATATATATTTTTCTGATTTTTCCGAGATTTTTTTTTTTTTTTTTTTTTTTTTATGTTCATATTCGAAGGGTCTTAACGCTCAATCTCGTTCGGTGGCGAATGTTTGTGTTTAGTCACTGAACCCGAACACAATGGTAGGAAGGATGTGGCAAAAAGAGAAGAAGGGGAATACGCCAAGAGGAAAAAAAATGTCAAAATTGAACTTCTTTTTACTTAAAACGAAAAGCGAGAGAANTTTGTCACAGCCCCTCGTTTGTTGTCCTCTTCTCCCTCTCTGCCTACGGTTTACCGGGCAGTTCTATTTGACGATATATATCGTATATATATATATATACACACGTAGAAATATCCATCTCTCTCTCTCTCTCTCTCTCTCTCTCTCTCCATCGTATTATGTTTATGTTCGCATCGTCAATATGTTCTGAAGAATCAGTCAAACGTAGTTCTCTTGATTCAGATGTCTTCAAAAAAATACATGCTCATGTGCTGTGTCGGCTCCCTTATTACGTTGCCACGTTGGTCAATCTGTGTATGCGCTGTGCAGATGTCAATCCTTGCACCCCTCAGCAGGTCCTGTTACTTGATACCCCACTGCTTTCACCTTTCTCTACTGACTGCAGTCCCTGAAAACGCCTCCACTGTTGTCAACTCAGCTGATGTCCGGCCACCTGATACAACTTAACCCTTGTGTGTAGACCCACCTTAGCAGACGGCACATCCCCAGTTTTTTCATCCCAACTGGATTTAACTGATAATATGTTTGCCAACTGTTACATTTGTGTGGCAGTCAGCAACATGCACTTGTAATCGGCTTCATATTAGGTTGGTAAAAGTACTTAGATTTTTCCACCAGAACACATAAGATTTTTCCACCAGAACACCAAGTACCTTAACGCTTGACTACACTGCGGTTTTATTTGTTGGCAGTTGCCAATGCTTGATGCACCCACCGCTCAACAAGGAACCTCTGCAGCTCAGCTCATTCCTGGCGGAGTGCACCCCGAGCCTAAAACCGGGCAAACAGGTATGATCTCTTTCGCCGTCCAGTTGAAAAACAAGCAACGAAGCTGCCAACGACTGCTTAGTTAAGTCAGTTAGTTAGGCTCACCCGACGGAGTGCCGAAGGATTGGTACTGCTCAACTATGCCACGTGTTCTGATCTATCAAAGAGAAAACTATGCCGCAGTCAGGGTTCGAGTTCGAAAATGCACTTGTTGAGGCAAAAGGGCCTGGAATGGTGAATGTATACAACCTAGGTTTCCGGTCCGGTGGGGTTACGTGGGGGTGTGTTCTGTTTGCGGGATTGCCTGAGGTGCATTTTCAAACTGTTTTTTACCCTTTGATTAAATTGAAAGCCCATTCGAACTTGACCGCGAGAGGACAATGGGGACACTTGTAAAAAATGGGGACCCTTTTCCGAGTAACAAATGTGAAGGCCACTGCAGCCTTCTTTCCATTGATATGCTGATGATTTTGTACTATTGCTCAGTGGAGAAGGCCGTAGAAGACACAAAGTGCTAAGTCTAGAGTCTAGACAAGACGATGGCACAACGCATCCCGCTGCGATTCCAACGCATCCCCTATCAAGATGATGTATCGTGTCTCCGCACATCAGTTGTTGATTTAGCGTCAGTCTTGTAAAATATGATGACTTATTTAGATCACTTGGAAATAAAAATTCACAACGTCACCTCCGAATTGCGGAAGGTGACAAAATTGGTTAAGGCAAAAAACAAGGTGGTACACGAGAAGGTGCCTGAGGTGAAAGAAGAACCGCATGAAAAATTAGTGAAAGATGTCATGAAATCTCGGAAAGAATTTGAAACTTCCAAGGAAGAACTGACAAAGAAAGAACCCGAACTTGTGAAGAAGGAAGTGGTCTGTGTGTAACACACCGAACATGTTCGGAGCTTTTCCGAATGTGCGAACATATTCGGGTGTTCGACCAAACTCTTCCCGAACATAATTAAAAAAAAAAAAAAATTGGTTTGGTTTTGTATTTTTAACTCGAGTTTGGTTACAAATTTGAGCATACCTCGCAGGCAAAATTTGTTCTTWTTWTTWTWTTGCATATTATATATWTTTTTYTGATTTTTCCGWKWTTTTTTTTTTTTTTTTTTTTTTTTTWATGTTCATATTCGAAGGGTCTTAACGCTCAATCTCGTTCGGTGGCGAATGTTTGTGTTTAGTCACYGAACCCGAACACAATGGTAGRAAGGATGTGGCAAAAAGAGAAGAAGGGGAATACGCCAAGAGGAAAAAAAATGTCAAAATTGAACTTCTTTTTACTTAAAACGAAAAGCGAGAGAAACATTTGTTACTTTAGATAACCGAAATTCAAACCAATTGCAGTACCACTCCTGTTGGGTCAGAAAGTGGGATTGCCTTCTCCACTCCATGTCGGGGAGAAGTCGCAAATGAGTCACAAGCGGTTATCCGGGTAGCTGAAAATTCAGGAATGAAAATTCTGAAGTGAGAGTTTTTGGCAGTCTGAAAATCTTGAATAGTCCTGAAGTGGTAAAAGGTTCGACAACTATGAAAACCACCTATTTAGGCAGGCTGCATCTTGAAGTGGTGAAGGGTGTCCTGAAAAGGTCATGTGAGAGTTCTTGGCAGTCTGAAAATCCTGAATGTTCTTGAAGTGGTGAAAGGTCCGAAGACCATGAAAACCACCTATTTAGGTAGGCTGCATCTTGAAGTGGTGAAGGGTGTCATGAAATGGTCAAGTAAGAGTTCTTGGCAGTCTGAAAATCCTGAATGGTCCTAAAGCGGTGAAAGGTCCGAAGACCATGAAAACCACTTTTCACCACTTGAGGATGCAGCTTGCCTAAATAGGTGGTTTTCAGGGTCTTCGGAGTTTTCACCACTTCAGGACCATTCAGGATTTTCAGACCTGAATGATCCTAAAGTGGTGAAAGGTCCAAAGACCCTGAAAACCACCTGTTTAAGCAGGCTGCATCCTCAAGTGGTGAAGGGTGTCCTGAAGTGGTGATGAACAATACGGCTGTTGTTAACCTTCTCTCAAATGAGTGGGTACTGTCTAAGGTCAATGATGTTAGATTCAAAGATAAACGTGAATGGGCAAAGACAATGAGTCTCAGGGAATTCCTCCAAAAGATCAAGGAAAGTTTCATGGACAAAACGGCGACTTTTAAGGCCTTTGACGAACTCTGTATTATTACTAAGAAGCGTTAGACTATAGTTGATGCTTTGTCTCATGAAGTGGATCGTTTGTTGGAGGTATCTGTTCTTAATTTGAAGGATACCCTAGTTTTCTATATCTACTCTCCTCTATGTAACCGTTTCAACACATTTGACGCGCGTTCGCGTTCAAACGCGCGCGTTCAAATGCATTCAATAGCGCCACGTGACATACGGTGGGAGAAAACTGAACGCGCGCCCCCCACTGGGTTGT